CTGGTTCCAGGCTTCACTCTCTGGTGTCATCTACCTCAATTATCACAGTTCAGCTGCTTTTTTCAGTTTCTGAAATGTTGTTGTCCCCATTTTCTTTGCCCTTACGGGTTTATGCCTTTACCAAAAGCCCTTACTGTCATTTTAACTGTTGTTTTGACGAGGCTTTGGGAGGCTGTGGAGATTAAATGCATGTGTTAATTCACTGTCTTTGACAGGAAGTATGCCATTGATTTCTTTTTTCCTTTCCAGAGAACAAATTATTTTCCTTTTAAAATCACCTGATAAAAACAACCAGAACCTTGAAGCTTCAAGCTAAGTGGCTTGGGTTCTCTTCTAAATCACCTTCCTATTATTTTCTGAAACAGATCAATTCAGTGGCTAGAAAGGAAACTAAAATTCAAAGAAAGTGCGCCCCTTTTGCCGCTGAAAGAGGGACATTGGGAAGTGGAAAAGGCCTCTGCCTTTTATCTACTTTAAAAATAGTAGAGAAGAATCTCACCTTTTATCTACTTGAAAAAAAAAGAGAGAGAAGAAAGGGACTTTTGAGCCAAAAGCGAACACTGGAGTTAGGAAAGTCTTCTAGTAAACAGTGCAGGGAAAACTGGCTAGCCACTTGCAAAAAGAACGAAACAAGACCACTGTCTCACACCATATACAAGACAAGACTCGGAATGGATTGAAGACTTCAACGCAAGACCCCAAGCACAGCACGCACAGGAGAAAGCTGGTCATAAGCTCCTCAGGTCCTCACCCTGGCCTCAGAGAAGCCTTGGGGACTCAACTCCAACAGCAAAATAAACAAGCGGGACCCATCAAAACCAAAGCACCCCCTCTGCCAATCCCCCCCCCCCCAAGGAAAGGAACATGCCTCAGAACAAGATGACTTCCCAGCAAACACAAGTCTCTGCACATCACGTGTCTGGCAGGGGCCAAATGCCAAAGCATGACAGATACACAGAACTCACGAAAACCACCTGGCTAAGCTGGGCAGAGCATCTGAAGAGGCGCAGCTCCGAAGAGGACACGCAGATGGACGGACTGCGGCACGTGAGGATGCTCCTCGTCTCTTATTAGGGAAGAGCAAATCGAAGCAATGACTAGGAATCACCTCCCTCCGTGACAGTGGCTGTTAGCCAAAGATGAGGAACTGCCAGTGGTGACGAGGGGACCCCCATCCCTCCCACCCACCGACGCACAGCCAGTGGGACCCCACGTCGGGGCCCCCCTTACGGAGAGCAGTGTGGGGACCACGCAGGAAAATTTAAAAAAGAAACACCACATGCGTGCACCAGTGCACCCCACCCTGCAGCACAAACACTAATCTGACGTGATGTCTGTGCCCCGTGCTCACGGCTCCACTGTTCACAACATCCCAGATCCGGAAACAGCCTCGGCTGCCCTTGGATCGAGGACTGGATGAAGGAGATATGATCACACACACAACGGAATCCTCTTCAGCTCTAAAAGCAAGGTGAAATCCCGCCATTTTCAGCAACACAGACCCAGGGAGTAAGTATTCTGCTTAGTGAAATAAGCCACACCCAGAAGACAAACACCAGGTAATCCCGTTCGTGTGCGGCATTTACAGACATCAAACGCATAGGCAGACATGTGTTCAGGCTAGGAGGGGTTACCAGGAGTGTCTGGGAAAGAGGAAAGGAGGGAGGCAGCAGATGAGGCGAAAGGGCAGAGTAGGGCTTCGGGGAGCAAAGTTACTGTGGCGAGTACGCGCGCTGAGAGCCACCAGCACAGCTGACACACTGCCACGCTGCAGCGTCACTTCAAATAAAAACGCGTCTGTCGGGCGGCTTCCTCTGCAGATTCCTGCGAGTGCTCCTTCCCGGTCACCCGCTCCGCCCGCCAATCCTCTGCAGAGCCAGCGTGGGGCAGCCTGGGGTCTGCACAGCCGGGCCGGTCACTGCCTGGCCTCCTCACGCACACGACCTCCAGGCCCTTCAGCCCACCCTGCTCCTCCCGACTGCCCACTGTGCCCAACTACTGACCTCTGACCCCTGCCCTGTCCTCAGCGCCCTTTCACTTCCTCCCCACAAAGCTAGGTTGGCCATGACATGACTTCCGTGGCCAGCTCTTCAGTGGAAAACACTCCTCTCGCAGTTTCGCGAAATGTCATAGCACTCTGCGTTCTCTCGGAAGAAAGGGGCCCTTCCTTTCTTGTGGGGGTAATATTTCGTGGCTGTACTTGTTCCCTGCTTTCCTTGATTCTTTCCCCCGTAGTCCCCATCTCACTTTTACTGTCCTGCCTTCTCTTCACTGGCTCTGTTCTTGTTCCCGGGCTCAGTAAAGCTTCCCTTCACCCCTCCAGCTCCCAGGGCTGCCACACACCCTTCCCAGGAGGGGGAGACACAGGCCACCCCCACAGCCCTCCCCTGTTCCCCAGCTCTCCATGGGGCCACTTTCCAGCATCCTTCTCCCGCCTACTCCCTCTGCCAGTGACAACATGAGCACCCAACACACCTGCCTTCCAAACAGTCAATGGAACCTGTCCAAACAGGGTGCCCTTTTGAAAACGAGACTGCAGGTGGGAGTGTAACCCCTAGTTTTCCCTTCATTGCTGAAACCTTAAGTGAAGGTTTATCGAAACAGAATACAAATCTGACTTTAAAAGTCTGAAATACTTCTACAGAGATCCTCTTGTGCAGCCCCTGGGTGACATACATCTTGGTTCTGTCACTGCCAGATTCAGGTTCTGCAGGCAGAATAGCAATTGCTTATCAGACGTAAAATCTTCATGCAAAGTTCCTGAGCCCAATACCAATGAGCAGTTCTCCATATGACTAATGGCGATATGCCCTATGATAACTGCAAACACGAGAAACAGAAGATCAAGGGACTTTAAATAAGTGCTCGGGGTAACAGAGGGCTGTGTAGGCGGCCAGCAGCAACTGAAACCGAAAGACAATTGTTACTTGCCTCTACGTTATATGTAAACCAACCCAGAGTGACCTGAACCATTCCATAGTGGTTATTCTTTCACTCCCCCAAATGAAACCCTTAATAGATAGACTCTTTAGCCTTTAATTACAAGCAAGCACAGTCCTTACTCAAGTCAAAGAGCAGGGCAATGCAAAGCTGCATTAGGCTAGAAATGAGCAAGTTTTATACACCAATGAAGTTGAAAGAACTGGCAATAACTCAAGTTGCTGAATTAATAAACAGTTCTCAGATAAATGTAGTTTCAGATTCTAATCACCTGCAGTTCTCGGAGATATTTGTGCTTCACCACACTGAATACAGAAGAAAAGTTACATCATATTTAGTCAGTTCATGTTTGAGAGTGTGTGTGTGCAGATGTCGGGACAGGTGAGGGAGACCATCCTGTCTGGAAGGTAGGCTGCATTCAAAAAACACACAGAAACTCCAGCAGCCCCATCAGCTGAAGCAAATACATCATGGTTTGCAGAGCTGAATGGTTGACAGGTAACACAGATCCTGGAATCACAAAACCCCCTGAAAGACTGTTGTGATGAAGACAGCACAGACTAGCAGGAGGAGGGAGCGGGATGTGGGACCAGAGGGAGACTCGCCAGCCTCCAGCTGGGTGGCCCAGGTGAGGCCATGGCCATGTCAGCTACTTCCTTTTCGACCCCACCCTCGGTAGTTCCTAGCCAGGTCTGCCCGAGAGTGTTCTCTGCACATAGCTCCTGTGTGAGCTTATCACCTGCTGGCTCAGTCTCTCCCCTGTTCTGTGCAAAAGCCAAGAGCTCCCTATTACTCCTAAACCCTCCCAGAAGGAAGAGCAACGCCTAGTAAGCACTCAGTACATTTACTGCCCGCGCTTCCTTCCTCATCTCCTGTTTGGCTGGAAGGTTCTAGAAGGCTGAAATCAATCTTGTTTATTTTTTAACTTTTAGTATGTAATAGCTCTTACAAGTACATAATTATGCATAAAAGGAGTTCCGAGCTTTTATAAGATGGATGATTTCATTAACAGATTTTATAGAATACTGACAAAATGGGTGGGTCCGTGGGTAGGTAACCAGGTAACCTTATAGGCTATGTAATAAGCTACCGGAAAATTTTTTGTGGGACAGTGATATTATAAAAATGGTGTTTGAAATACCTTCGTTGTGGTTGTAGGGACTGTTAGCACAGAAAGAACTAGAAATAGAAAGATTGTCCTAACAAGATAAGGACCTGAGTGTGTGGGTTAGTTGTAGTGATTCCTTCATGAACACCAAGAAAAAAAAAATCACATACATCCTTGGCCTCAATCTACTTCAAATGAGTTCAATTCTGACAGGACAGATGATTTTTTCAGGCTATGCAATAGCTGTCTTTAAATTTTAGAGGGCAGCAACTAAAAAAACCACAGTAATTGGATAGCAACTAAAAAGAAAAATGTAGTAATTAAGGGCATAGTCGTACTTCCATACGACTTACAACTGTTCTTTGATATCAGTACTTAAGTTTGAAAATGGAAAAAAAACCCACAAAACTCCACTGTCTGTCCTGATTACCTTGCAGAACACGTGGGCTTGGGTTTTATCACAGCTAAAGTTTGTTAGATGGTTGCTGATGCGAGAGGATCCCGCCAGCTGGTGTAACATTTGGACTCCACCAAGGCCCTCGTCAGCGCTGAGGATGCCAGGGCAGCCAGGAGCAGACGCCGCAACTGCCCCCTCCCTCCTGAGGGCCCATTCTCTCTCCCTTTCCTGCACGTGCAAGTCCCCACGACGGCAGGGCTCACAGCACAGGTCACAGTGAGGGAGCGATCATTTCGGAGCATCTGGAGCATGGCCACTCACTAGAAACACTTGGGAGCCGTTACCAGCCCTGGACAAGCCCCACCCCCCCCAACCACCACCGTGAACGTGTTATCCAGACTCGAGAACCAGTGAATTAGTCATTTCCTTTAGCCACAGAAAAGCCATTTTTCATATTTGATTTTCTCAATATAATTTTAAAAAGATGAAGCCGTATAAGGGGCAACCTATACGAGGCCTCTGATTTAACCCTAACGACAGGAAACTTTCACTTACCCGCCTTCTGACAATGGACGATCTTTTCGTACACGGCGTCTGCGTTTTCGATCAGCGCCTTGAGGGACTGGAGCATCTGCAAGGAGAATGTGGAGCTGTGAGCCGACGCCTGGCAACCAGCACCCAGCTCATGAGCACGAGCTTCTTATGGGACTTCTCTGAGTTCCTGGACCCAGTGAGGTGAGTGTCTCAGACTGGGTGGTGCAGACCCTCTGCTCCGCTGCTGTCCGCCTGGAGGCGGCATCAGGCCACCATAAGGCTCAGTTTCCCAAGACACCCCCACAAGCCCGGGCTGCTCCCTGCTTCTCTCACTCACTGGTTTTCGTGAATCTGCTCAAGCGGGGCGTCGTGACACGGTGCACTCCTGAGATGACTGGCTTATTAGGAAGGACAGACAGGGCCCTCTGGGGGGAGAGAACCCAGAGCAGGGTTATGGGGAAGGGCTCGGAGCATCCCGCCCTCTCTGGTGCACATTCTCCCCAAAGCTCCACTGGCTCACTAAGCTGAAAGCGCCTAGCACTGTCCTTTTGGGGCTTCGCAGTGGCTCCCTAATGAAATCCCTGGCCTCTGGTGATGCGCTGTACCTATATCCTCTCTGCGTCACAGGAGAGCCCCACCCTCCAGGCGTGTTGGGTTCCCTGGCAGCCAGCCCCACCATCACGAGTTTTCCAAAGTTACCTTCATTAATGTAACACACACCTGTGCCTCTCTCACCTCTTAGGAGAGTCCGAGGCTTTGGGGAGCTGTGAGTCAGAAATACGAAGAGCAAATATGTACGGGAAATAACTTTGGTCATACAAATTTCTTATAGATTGCAACATTACAACTCTCCACTCCAACTTCAAATGTGTATGTGAAAGATGATAAAACTGCACCCCCTAAAACAGTCTGATTGAGACTCTGAGGCCTGCAATGTTTCAGACGTAGACAGGTCAGCAGACACAGAGTTTGAACTTAGGGTCAGTACTGCTTCTGTGTGAAAAGTTACAAACAAATGTGTGTGCACAATTGAGCTGTGTTGCAGATCGTATTTGCAGTCACTCATCTTAACAAGACTCTTAGAGAAAAGCCCCAGCACCCACATTCCTTACCCGTTTCAGCCAAAGTTAAAAACACACAATGAGGATCAAAAAAATGCATTTATTTGATGTATCACTAATGGTATCGCTCAAGCTAATCACTTTAGTGTTCCGGTTCCAAGTGGTGCATGCCCACGTGAAGAGCCAAACTTGAGTAAGAAAAAGCATCGGGCGCAGCCGGTCCGCTGTCTTCCTCACCAAATGCTAGGGGACAATGTCTGCAGCCAGCATGTGGCTCTAAAGTCACGGTGAAGTGGGGAAACCACAGTGATCTTTCATACTTCGAGTGGGCCCCGTTGTGATGCTCACCCTGGAACAGATTCCAAATATTGGTATTTCAAAGTCCAGGTGTTTTGCATATGCTTTAGGTGACCATTCTCTTTTAAAATTGAAACATCAACTCTTTGCCCTCCAGTTCGTTAAATTCTGCTTTGTTTTTCCTTATGGTATTTATCACTCACTGCCACAGGAATGCTTTCATAGCAAATAAATACATGTAGTTTGGCTTATTCGCGTAACTCCAAAAACTCGCTATTGTGATTAGTTACACTTATTCAAACTGAGGCATAATCAACATGCTTCTTCAGAAGTGCAGCAGATTCTTAAAGTGAGTCACACAGGGGTGATCAGCTTCCACTGTCCAAGGAATTTACAGCAGCCTTGGAAGGGTTGACGACCTAGGTAGGTCTTCCTTTGTGTCTTCATCCATCATTCACAGAAGGTCTACCAAGGCAGCCCCTAAGTAGGATCTGGGGTCACAGAGACCTACAGGATTTAACCCATCCCCAAGTCCACGGCTTCATCGCAGAGCTCGCACTTTGGAATTCATTATTTTCACATTCCATCTTCAAAATCTGAGTCATTCCTGTCAATGAAGATACACTCTATTTTACAGCTTGATGCACTGAACAGGCCGTGATAAAAATGAATAGTTTAGAGCTTGATTATATTGCTATAAAGTCATCTGTGCCATTATATAATTTGCATATTGAAAAGGTTCATGCCGTCATCCGTAACCTTTTATCGCTTTGATGTCAAGCCAAATAGGGCCGTCCAGGAGCAAGGACTTCTTCAGGCAAGGATGGTGGCGGTCATGGCTCAGCAGCAAAGAACTGGCTGACCATGCCTCAGTCACGCAAAGAAAAAGAGGGAAAGAAATACAAGCCGTGCCATGAGCCTGTTCGCCCTAAGCCATGGCAGCTCGGTGGCCTGTTTAATGGTGCTCCCCTGGCCTCCACGCAGACAATCACAGAAGGGGCCACTGTGGCTTGGACTTCATTATGAAGGTCTCCTGATAGACGGAGTATGTGCTCCCTATTCCCACCACACCACCGAGCAGTTTGTAAGCTCTGAAGGAGAATACCAGGATGGCGGGTGCAGGCACAGTAAACAGCCCTTCCCTTCGGGTCTGGAAGTAAACAGCAACCAGTGTGTGCAGGCCACAGTGCAGGGGAATTCCAGGGGAGCCGGGCAGGATGGGGGTGCTCAGTGGACTTAAGACGAGGGAGGAGAAAACATATCCAGACCAGGGCAGAGGTGACTCACTTTTTCACACCTGTGATTAAATGTTTTCATCGCTTACTTTTGGGAGGAGGAACGGCCAGCTTATACCTTTTCATAGTTTTAGGGTATGTGTTTCCCACAGGTGCGTGCTTGTAACGCAGGCTCGGTAAGCAGCTCATAGTTCCAGTGCATTGTGCAAGCTCATTAATCCTCATCTCCAATCCTCATCTCCGGAGTCTGTGTAAACTCCCCTTTAGCAGAAGAGGCCCACCTAGGTGTTCCAAAGGAAGCCTCCAGGCTGTAAGCCCTGGCAAGAGCCCCAGGTGCAGAGCCCAGCAGGTTAGGGGCAGGAGCAAGCAATGGGCCGCTTCTGCCTGCCTGTCCAGCTGGCGGTGTCTCGCACTCATTCCCTGGACACTTAGAACTGGACAGAGGGTACTGGCCTGAGGACACAGCGCATGGCACAGGGCAGCGCTGGACCTAGCGGGGACCAAATTCTGTCTGGACCTGTGGCTTTCATAACAGGCTGAGGTTATAAATAGCATGAGTGTTGGCTGAATGAATCAAGATGAGAATCACTTGAGCACCTCTCCTGCATCAGGGGTAAGCTCTTGGTGCTTTCTATTTCATTTAATGTTCACCAAATAATGTGTGGTGGGTGTTTATGACACAGTTTTGCAGATGTGAACACGGAAGACCTGAGAGTTAATAAGCAACTCCTCCCAGGTCACTGGGCTCAGGGGGACGGTAATGAATAGTAGGACTGATGTTCGTTGGACCCAAGGCCTCTGCTTCCTCCACAATACCTTGCCAGGTCTGGACGTACAGCAGTGATGGCACAAGTAGAGCAGAAGAAAGGAAATTCTAACTAGAAAGTGACACAAAACCGGGAGATTTAGTGACCCCCGGCAGGTACTATCACCTGTATAGCAGTATCACCTCCACTAACTCAAAATCCTTTTTCATAAAAGAAGCCTATGTTTGAGAACACACACACACGGCAACAGCAAACAATTCACTTGCTCTTACACATACACTATTAAAAAAGAAATTGTCTTTGATGGGAGACTGCTAGAATAAGCATCTCAGACTAGACCAAGGCGGCTAAGTGGGGACATCAAGAGATGTCAAAGGGAAAATCTGCCTTCCGCGATCTTGCTCTCTGTACGTCACACTGAAGTGTCGTCTGATGCACGCGAGGCCCCCAGAGGGGCGGCTCCCTCAGCACTATGTGCGGGAGTGCAGAACCTGTCACCTGCGCAGGTGTGAGCCCCAACACAGTGGGCGGTCGACCTGCTGCAGCAACTTTTCACGTTACGTGAAAATGTGCACGATGCTTTTATGAAGTTGCTGCTCATGGAGTTTGTGTTAGTGTCCAGTTCCCGGCACCTCCGAAATTCCTAAAACTAATGCAGAGGACAATCTACGGATTTAACAGCCCAGAAACCCATTTCATAAGTTTGTTCAACTCCAATATAAGGTTCTAAGGCAGCACTCAGTAGATGGAAAGCGGGAAGTTGCGATTAAGTAACATTCTACATTTCTGTTTTCCTAAGCTGGAGAGAACTCAAAAATGCCTTTCCTAGGGACACTTTGTCCTGAAAGGATCTGCCCACGTGTGCCCAAGGCCAGCTTCTCCGTGACAGGCACGCTGGGAGGAGGACCGCTGCTCGACAGTGTGCACTAGACTACACACCACATCTTTATCTTCTTTTGACCTTTATTTCTCAACTAGAAAAGCGCTGCTTCAAGAACCAGCAAATCTGTGATTCCATGTCAGAATGGTATGTCTGATTGTGGACAATTCGTTGATTTTGATTTCATCCCATGAACACATAATAATTGCAGAAGCAACCTGCAATGGCTTGTTCTCAGGTGAATTAATGGTAGGCACATCTGAGTTGTAGGTTTTATTCCCCTGCATTTTGCTTTGATGCTCTATTTCAAATCACAAGTCCCTGTCTTCCTTTGCTGATTCCAACTACACACGCATGCACGCACGCACACACACACAGGCAGGCTGCTGCTGACTCCCATGAGGTTACAAAGTCTGAGAAGCACTAAGGTCACCAAGTAGGACAGCACAAAGGTTTGTTTCTTCCACAGATTCCTTGACTGTGTCACTGTCAAGCCTGCAGAGGAACTCGGAAAAACAATACACCCAGCTCCACTGCTGAACACCCCCGGAGGCCCAGGCTGTCTTGGGCGCCACAGCCAGCTGTGGGCAGTGAATGAGCAGGTGGCAGGCGTGGCTTCAGGCGCCCTGGGCTCAGAGAAGGTGCTGGAGAGCTGGCGGAGAGCAGGACTCATGGGCTCCAGGGATAAAGCATGAAACATCAGAGTCCAGACTGAGGTCTCCAGGAGCTCTCTGATGCCTTCCAAAGCAGGACCCTCCCTCCCTCTGATCTGAGCTCTGTGGCTCGCAGTGTCTGAGGTTCAGTGTCTCGGGATTGCCACAGATGACACCTGCTACAAAGGTTACTCACAGTGTGGC